TGCAGAGCCTGCTCCACCTTGTTTCCCTTTGAAAGAGAATGGAGTGATAGTTGTGGGCGTGCCCAGCACAGCGGAAAAGGAAGCCGAGGTGGAGCCAGCACTTAACAGAGATGAAGATGTAGATTCAGCTGGTAGTAACCAGCCTTTAATTTCAGCAGCTACAGTGAATTCAGGCACCCCTCAAACATCTGCTAAGCCAGTGCTAGGCTGCAAAGAGCTGGTGTCTGCTGCAGCAGTAGCAGGAAGTGGAGCAGTAGTGGTAGGTGGAGCAGCTCCTGAAGGAGCTGAAGCTGTACGTGCAGCTGCTGAAGGAGAAGCTGTGGGTGAAGATGACTACCAGGCATACTATCTGAGTGCTGCTTCAGAAGAGGGTGTAGACAGACAGCTAGCTGACAACCATCAGGAGGAGGAGCCAGACATCTTTGCAGGGATCAAACCACTGGAGCAGGAGGGACGCATGGAGGTGAGTCCATAGAAACCCAACAACAAAAGCAAAGCAGTTCACTTGGAAAGTAAGAGCATGAAATAAACATTAGATACAAGCATGCACAAAATTACATCATTGTCTACCAGTACAGTAAAAATTACACTTTGTAGACTTTCTTAAATTAACGAAATATCTAAACTTCAGAGGTTAGAAATTCATGACTATCAGTAAGCTAGCCTGTCCAAACACTGTCAAACACTGACACACTGTAAAAAGTTAGCTTTTTTAATGATTAGAGAAAAGAATATGATTTTTTTTTCTGCACTCATGTAGGTTTGTTGAACATCAGAGGTTAATAAACGTTTCATCTGCTGATCCTTTGCCATTTTAAAAAGTAGGGCCCAGTGTGTTGTGGTTACATTGTTCAGTCACAAAGGATTTAAAGATTAAACACTTGGACTTCATCGATAAGTTTGCATTTGGAAGAACTTTTAAATTGATAATGTCTGCTAAGATATTATGTATATTGGCATACGCAAACAGTTGCAAAAAAGTTTGTGTATCCCCCGAAGTTACCAAGATAAACATAAACATACACCACTCAACTAACACAAAAACAGTTGTACTTTTCACGCCTTTGTTAGACATTAGGCACTTATGCACCCCCATACCATCAGAGTTCTAGCTGAACTGAAGCGACCACTAATAACAAGATAACTCGCCCTCCTGTTAAGCCTGGAACATCCATGTTTTCCAGAATGAATTAAAACAATTGTTCAAATCACCCTCGTCCCTTACACCGTGATTTTGCTAGATTGATCAAGTCTTTTGATGATATTAGTACAATAGTACATCAGGCAACATTGATGTCATAATATCAAGTAAGAATTTTATGTTGATATCGTAGGTGTATCTACTAAAAATCTAGCACGCAATTGAATCTCATTGATGTCAAGGTCAAAGGTCATGTTTCCTGAAAATCTTGTGAATGC